GCTCCGCAAGGCTTCGTCTTGTGGGCTAGGCCACCCCTGGGGGCACAACCCATGTGGTCTGCCGTGGGTATCCGGGATCGTACCCCCCACACCAGCCCTCCCTCAAGGACACTAACGGCTGCTACTGCCCCTGGCCTGAGCAGTTTCATCCCTCTCCTCTCCTATCCTTGTTTGAGAAGATGGAGCACGGAGATAATGACCGAAGGGGAAAAGAAAGATGAATGAGCAAAGAGACAAGGATCCACCTCGCTGTGGTCAAGGGAGGTCAACAGTAGTAGGCAGTAGTGTAGCTCCATGGGGACTTGGTGATAGGGGGAGACACGAGCAATACATTGAAGATGAGGAGAGGCTAGAGATGATAGGTTGTACCACTGATGCCATTCCTGACACCCCACAACATCTCTCTGAGTTTGATGGTAGACACATGAGAGATTTTGAGGGTGAGATCATCATGAGACCTCCAGATGACTCCCGCTAGCATGCAGTTGTCAACTATTCCAATAGTTGGAAGCCGGTGGAAGAGGCAAGGGGGATCAATTCCTATGTAGTGCGCAAGGATTTAGGCATTGATTATAGATTCTAGAATGGGTTTCATTCCAACTTTTATGCCACTGCCATTCTTGCATCCAAGAAAACCAAGATCATCAAGATAAAGTACATAGGTTGGGATGAGATGTAGGAGGAGCCTGAGTTTGATAAGGTAATCAAAATTTGTGACAGGTTCTAGCTTTCAGACATCATGGGTTTCTAGTATAACTAGAATGAGGAGGTCCTTGCATAGTTTTATGCCACATACTTCTATGACCAAACCTCTGATGAGATTCACTAGATGACTGATGGTCGGCACCACCGAGTTGACTTTGTCACTTTCAGCCAGATTCTTGGCTTTGGGGAGGAGCATAGAGGTTACACTTACATTCATGATGAGGCTCGAGCTGAGATCCATGACATCAGTTACATATGGAGAGATAGAAGGATTGTAGATGGCAAGAGGAGTGGTCTACATAGCTTCTATTACATCCTCAACAACCTCATTAGGAACACCATCAACCCAAAGGATGGAGCAGCCTCAGATATTAATGGCTATGTGAGAAATGTGTTGGCTACATTTGCTCCAGGTGGGGACAGGTTCAATGTCCCTAGATTCATGTGGACTGAGTTGAGATTTGCAGTGGAGGATGGGAGGAGAGGGCTTCCCTATGCCCCTTACCTCATGTTCATGATTGAGAGGGTCACTGGATTTTATTTTTTGAAGGATGGGATGCACACTGTCTACAAAATTGAGAAGACCTAGCCAGCTGCAGCTACTCAGGGAGCGGAGAGCTCTCATGCTCATGTAGACATCCCTGAATCTTCCCACTCTAGGTCTCGTAGAGGAGGCAAGATGAAGAAGTTTGGCAAGTGGTTGAAGGCAATCTTCAGCAAGTGCACCTATGCAGCTGACAGAGCGTATGAGACACCGCTTGAGCAGCGTTAGCAGCATGGACAGGTCCTTCCACCACTTCCTCCTATTCCACCTCCTCCACAGTATGACCTTTCGAGTCTCTCCGACATAGATTCAGATAATGATGAGGAGCAGCAGGGATGAGCAGCAGATTGGGATGAGACCCTGGAGGGATACCGTCAAAGACAGGAGCCGAGGCGTTCCAGTCGTTCCACTTGCTACACCGCCACTACTCACCGTCAGGGCCGTGCACGTATTGACTCCGATGACGATGATGGTGATGGTGGTGCCGGGACTGCTGCAAGAGGTGCTAGGGCTGCAAGAGGTGATGATATTGATTGGACGGACATCTAGGGAGATGACGAGTAGGTGTTGATCTTTCTTCTATTCTTCTGTTTTTGGTGCTTTATGCCAAAGGGGAAGAAAATTAGAGGGGTCAACAACTTTTTCGATACCATGGAGGTTGCTGCGTTCGTATCCGTTTAGAATAGTCTTCGTTAGGTGAGAGTTTGAGAGTCCATTAGAAACTCTATTTATGTAATAATGCTACTTAAGTACTTTATATATGGTTGTGATATGGACATATATTAATCTACGTTGTCGTTTGTGATACATTTATGCTAGAATGTATATCTTTATATGTATCACATGCTCTGTGGTGTCTGTTCTGATCTGTGATGTTACAGCAAGTGTGGAAGTGCCGCACCCAGCTGTAACAGCAAACCATGTTGTGCATAAACTATCATTTGCATCACGTTTTACATACCTGACACAGTATGCAGCACCCCACAGGAGCATGGATGTAGGGGGAGCCCCATCACTTTCACTAAAATGTGAATCTTGGCTTCTTATGCCATTTTGAGAATTCAATTCTCTATTCACATACTTAGGGGGAGGCTCTACACCCATGGCTCAAAAAGTCTGAGTATTTATTTCATATCTTTTATAAGCTCTAATTGGGTTGTCAATAATCACCAAAAAGGGGGAGATTGAAAGTGCAATCAAGCCTTAATTGTGGGTTTTGGTGATAATGACCATGCAATTAGAGAACTGATGAAATTAATCGAGATGACAAGCATGGAATTTATATTCGAGGATGCTACACGAAACGGAGGAGCCCCCAATGGCTTCAAACTCAAAAGAGGTTTAAGATTCTTTTATATCTTAAATTTGAGTATATGAAAAGTCGTACTATAAAGGGGGCACAATGCTTAAGCTAATATGTGCTACCAAGTGCTCAAACAACCACAAGCATCCTCAGATTCATAGCCAAGACAGTCTACACTTCACTATTACCCTTGCGGTCTTACGTGGTGCGGCACTGTCACACTTGAAGAGAGGCACTAACGCACTTGAGTCGTGGCACGAGGAAGTGAGTGCCCACGCTGACTTCCCCGGATGGCTCAAGACGTATTAAACGGTCTCACCCGACCCCTTGGATGCGGGATCCGTCTCGCCCGATCCCAAGGTCCCGGGATCCATCTCATCCGACCCCTTGGTGCGGGCTCCGTCTTCCTCGACCCTAAGGTCGTGGGATCCATCTCGCCTGACCCCAAGGTCACAAGATCCGTCTCGCCCGACCACTTGGTGCGGGCTCCGTCTCGCCCGACCCTAAGGTCATGGGATCCGTCTCGCCTGACCCCAAGGTCACGGGCTCCGTCTCGCCCGACCTCGAGGCCACGAGCTTCGCCTCGCCCGACCCCTTGGGCGCGGTGACCGTTGAGGGCTGGGGGTATATATACCTTTCCCTTTCCTCTCCAACGGCTATCTGTGATTTAAGTGATTGTTGGGGGCTGGGGGTATATATATACCTTTCCCCTTCCTTTCCAGTGGTTACCTGCCTCTTCTTCCTCATTTGAGCACGTCCAAAGCAGAGCAGGAGCTCTCTCTCTCCCTCCCTCCATTGTTGACCTCAAGCCCTCAATCAAATCCACTGATTTTCCTATCAATCCTTGAGGAAAAAGGGTCCCAAACTCGATTAGAGAGCAGCTCCATTGATTTCACAACTCTAAAGAGCACTTGGTTCACGTTTTGACCGGCGGTTGTGTTTGTTACTCTTGAAGCTTGGCTCCTAGCCGGCTAGAGCGTCGCCCGTGGAGCTTGCTAACTTGTGTGGCAGCCCCGGGAGGTTTGTAACCATCTTTTGAATTTAGTAAACTCACCCCTCATCTCAAGAGTTAAGTCTTTTGACTTAAGAACGAGGAAGGACTAGAAAGCTCTAAGCCTTAGTGGCTAACCTCAACAACGTGGAGGTAGGCAGGCCTTGGTGGCGAGCCGAGCCATGGGATAAATCATTGTGTCACTTGTGTTTGATTTACAATACTTGCATGACATATTATGGTTGAGGTGATTTCTAGTTTTTTTGTCGATCTACTTGTGTGTGATGTTTCTACCACTTTTAGTTCTTGATCTGTGATTGTCATACCTTCAGTAAGCTAGGAATTTTCTCTGATCTAAGTTTTCATTCACGGATTTTGAACTATGCCGCAGGGTGAATTTGATAAAAATTTGAGTGTTTGTTTTGACAGCCTATTTATCCTTTCTCTAGGCCAATCAGAGATTCTACAGCTAGACAAAGCTAAAGGCAGCATGACGAATGGTGTGTAGAGCCAAAGAGGAAGGTGGGCTGTGAGTCCTCAATATCAAAACCCAAAATGAAGCTTTGCTAATTAAGCATTTATATAAATTCTTTAATAGAGAGGACTTGCCTTGGGTCTCTTTGATTTGGGAACAATATTATGGTTTTGGAAAATTGCCTAGGAATTTAAAGAAGGGGTCTTTTTGGTGGAGGGATGTTTTGAAGCTTCTAGACAAGTTTAAAGGAATGGACAGAGTTACGGTCAACAATGGAAAATCCTGTCTTTTCTAGGAAGACATTTGGGGAAACCAGCCAATGGTTCACAAGATGCCTGAGTTATTTTCATTTGCAGGAAAGAAGCACATTGTCTTTGCTGAGGGAAAACGACACATCCCTCTTCATGGTCTATTTCATCTGCCCATCTCCCAACAAGCCCATACTCAGTTGCTGCAATTACAAGAGGAGTTACAAGAAATCAACCTGAATGATTTGTCAAATAAATGATCATATATTTGGAACTCGGATTTCTCAGTGAACAAAGCCTATAAACAACTAAGTGGCCATATGCATCTGCACCTAGTCTACAAATGGATTTGGAGAAGCAAATAGGGCGAAAGCATCATCTTGCATGCACATACTTAACAGAGATATTATAGGCGAAAGCAAATAGCTCGAGAAGAACAACCAATGGTCATTGCCCCCTATTTAACTGTCTACTTTTGCATCAGGTCCTGGATTCTCCCTAAAAAGGCATCGCGGCATTTGCCTTCGGATGAACACGAGTACTACTGCTACACGATACGAGCATACCACGGCGGCAAAATCGAGAAAGATGCACGCGACGCAAAATGCAGAACTACCATCAATCAGTCGGAGAGTAGTGTTCAAGGTAAATCACGGTAAGTAGAGCGCCGCCCTGCCCGTGCAGGTGCAGGTGCAGGCTCCCCGCCGTTCGCCCGCCCTCTTCCGGCAGCCCGGCTAGAAGCCGCTGAAGAACCCGGCGTTGCGCTGCGTCTCGCCGTGGTCCTCTGCGAACTTGTTGGGGATGCTGGTGGGCTCTAGGACGCCGCTGCCGTGACTCTTCTTGGGCTTGCTGGCTCTGGCCTTGCGCTTGCGTGTGGACCACGCGATGTGGCGGTCGCAGAACAGGTACCCCGGCACGGCCGCCTTCTTGCAGCGCCACCGCTTCCCGTCGTTCCGGCTGCACCTGACGGCGGCGGCGTCCTGCTCCTGCGGCTCCGGCTTGGGTACGTCGTCCGTTGCGCTGCTGCTGCGCGGGGCAGGCGACAGAAAGAACGAACGAAAGTGATTTCTCAGCTACCCCACCCGAGATCTCCTAGGGACACCTGAACAGAGGACCTTGACACACACCTGCTCCTCTTCCTGTTCCCAGAGGCAGCCGCGGCGGCGGCGGTGGGGCGGACCCGGTCGTCGTCTTCTCCGCCGTCTCGGACTCCGGCGGCCAGGATGGTCCGCTTCTCCTCCTCCGCCGCCTCCTTGTCGTTCTCCTCCCGTGGTTTCTCCTGCGCCAAGAACGGCAGGAAGGCAAGTGGTGAGCAGAACGCGAGGAGGAAAGAAAGATCACCGCCTGCGGGCTGCAGCATCTCCCCTCCCGGCCTCCCGGCACGGATGGCGAACAGGCCCCTGGCCCAACAACCGATCGGGAGCCGCGCGGCGCGTGCAACAGGTACGCACAGGCAAGCAATAAGCGCCGGCATCTCACCATGGGTTGCTGCAGCGGCAGGGGAGGAAACGGTGGTGGCGGCGGTGGTCCCGGCGATGCTGCCCTGGCAGGGGTGCGCTTCCGGATCCTCATGGCCCCGCCTCGCCTCGCACCGTCCCGGCCTGCTCCGGAGATCGCGTTGGGTTGCCTGCCCCGCTGGCCGGTGGCCGCTCCCTTCTCTCTTGCAAGTCCCCACGCGTCTCACTGTGGTCTTGGTCGCCTGATCTGCGTTAGTACTAGTAGTCGTGGTGGTAGCGGTCCAGAACACCACTTTCCCAGCCTCACCGTCGCGAGGCAGCTGCCGTCCGTTCTTTTTCCTCCGTTCAGTTCAGGCAGACACGGTAAATTTCCATTTTCCGCCCCAATCTGCCATATGTATTGTGCTGTCGTATCGGTACCACCAGCGTCCAGATGTCCGATCCTAGGCGCGTGTCCCCACACCTCCTGTGCTCCCGTCATGTTTCACATCCTACGCGCTCCGTTTCATTCCCCACCAGTGCCAGCCTTCAAAAGCGTGGCCTGCACCCGTTTTAAGGCCGAACTGTCCAAAATAATACCTCGAAAGAGCGCTATATCGGACAGTTCCATCGAACACACCTTAAAAGAGAACTCAAAACAATCCACGTTTTACTCTCATAATCCAATAATAAAAACAAGCTTATAATACTTAGTCTATTTTATACAATCAGAGTTCTTACAAATTATTTATTACAATACTAGAGTTTAAAGTGCGATAATTAAACAACTGAATGAAAATAAACATCTAGTAGAAACGATATAAGGATCTGTCTGTGCCCATCAGAAGAACCCTCCACATAAGAGCTACTCCTCAAGCTGCACCTGCAACATGGGTAAAATAAACCCTAACTACACAATGTACTCACGAGACTTACCCGACTAGTGGGAATAGTTTCCCGACTTTCAAAGATATGATAGGCAATATGAATTTACTATTTTCTTTTGTTTACGAAAAATATTACTATTAGTTCAACCTTACAGTCAAGTTTTATTAGCAAGTCATAATTATTTCATTAGCTAACCATTCTAAGTAAGCACATATTCTACTTTCAAGCAAAGGTTGAGCAATCATAACCATTTTACCATCTTTCATCTTCCAGATCTTACTACGATGCTAAACCATAGCCAAGTCATACCGTCTCACGGAAATGACGATTCGCGAACCAATGTATCCTAGCTGGGTACCCGAAACACACTCCCCGTTTGTATCCCAGGCACAAACAAGATCAATCCATTCCAATCCTGTCACGGGGTCCAGGTCCCTATTCAAACTTGGACTCTAAGCCCCAACACTTGAGATCCGGTCTCAGTATGGTGCTTAGACCTCTACCTTTTTTCGCCTCCAATCAGTCGGTCCATAAAGAGCCGGAACTCACGACAAAAGCGTAATGAGTCTTTCCGCTCCCATAAGTAAGTATGTGCTCAGGATAATAAGTCTGTGACCTGACTACCATCCACAGCAACGAACGATCCATAATCGACACGAACAGAAAAACAGTGTAACCAAGCTAAGGCTGTAACACCCTAGGTGTTTGGCTTCCACTAATTGCATTTCCTTTCATAAACATGTGCATCATCTATCTCATCATGTCATTGTTACTGAAACATGCATATGCAACATTTTCAATTGTATGTGTTTCATGCTTGATTGCTTAGAATGGTAGTAGTGCAACATGTGAATGTAACATGAAATTCTCATACTTGAAACATGGCAATATGGTAGTAATGTGACAATTATAAAATGACAACAAAGTCATGAAACATGTGAAACATGGAATTGAAACATATGAGTGAATTGCTTGTTTTAGTTGCTTTATCACATGTGATCATTAGGAATTGGTATAACAATTGTGTAAAGTGGTTGATCATGGTCTAATACACCTTAACTACACTTAGGTTACTTGATGGGAGATTGTTCATGTAGATCAAAATGACCAAAGTGCCCTCAAGTGGAGGTTTGACTTGAATTGACCCTCGGAGTGTCACTGTTTGACTGTTTCAAAAGACCAACTTAGAAATCTTGCATGGCTGTACACTCTTTACAAAAGTTGTAGCTAATTTATTAAGGAACAAAAGTTGTTTTATGACCAACTCATGAAAATGTGTGGAACATGCTCAAACATGACCCACAAGTCACATGTCCATGCTGATTTCTTACTTAACAAATTTCCTAAGTCCTAAAGTGAAGTACAGTTTCGTGTACCAATGTTTGGAGACTTGTATCTCCCTAACAAAGCCAAACCAGCTCGAGCTCCAATGATAAGAGTTGTAGTTCACATATAGATGATCAATTTTGTTAACTATGGCATGGTCTAAATCATCACGGTTTAGGAGCAAATCACCATCAAACTTGCTCTGCCAGTCACCGTCGATGATCTCTAAATCGCGTTTTCAGAAAACATTCAATTGAACGTGGCCGACCGGTTCAGAAGACGATGCCGCGTGGCGCCACCGTCGTCGCCGCTTCGAAAGGCAGCGAGGCCATGCACCGTGGATGCCCCTGGCATGGCTAGCCGCGTCTTGAACCCCCGCGGCCGACGACTTTTCGCCGCTCCATTTCTCCATTCCTTCGCCTCCTCCTCCAGTAGCTCACTGAACGCCAAGCCGCCGAGCCAAAAATCCACCTCCACCGAAAGCGCCTTGGTCCGATTCCTCCCAGCCCACACACCTCTGTGTGTTCCTCCACGTCCGTGACCTCACCGTCATTGCTTTTTTCGCGCCAGTAGAGATCATCCGCAGAGGCGGCTCCACCGGGTCGCCATGACCGCCGCCGGCCGAGCTCGCATGCGGCCGTGCTGCTCGAGTCCCTTGCCATCCCTCCTTTGTCTTGCGCTAGGTCCAGTGCATGCCACTGAAGCTCGTAGGGTCGCCATACAGGGCTGCGACGCCGTCGTCTCGCCGGAAGCCGGCCGTGCCGTGGCCGTGCGCCGCCGTGTCCGTCGCCACCCCTCTTGCCGTGGTGATAGCCAAAATTGATGGCACCGCTAGATGCGCAATGTTGAGACGAGCACCGATGCACCGCTGACCTCGCCGGAGGAGCCACCGACGACGAACTACGCCGCCGTCCGCTCCTTTCCCCTGTCTGTCTCGCTGACGCGCGGGCCCCTCTCGTCAGTCGCCGCGGTTGAGGCGGGAGCCCAGCGTGGGTCGTGTCAGCGTTGCTTGCGGGCCACCGTTTCCTTGGGCTGGCCCAGTAGCTGTGTAGGTTTTCCATTTTGTTTTGTTTATTTGTTTTTCATAGTTTTGTGTATAGATTCAAAAATGTGTAACTCAAGTTTGGTAGATCCAAATGTTATGGTTCCAATTTTGTAAAGTTCCTAGTCATGTCTAGTATTTAATAAAAATATTATATGAGCACATGTTTTAGAAATTCTGGATAAATTAAATAGGACTTTGAAATATGTTTTTGGATACATGCAAATTTGTTTGAATTTTATCTTGAGTTTCTGTGGTCCAAAAATGATGAAATTTTGTGGGAAATCTATTATTGCTTAGTAGAATCTCTGGTTAAAATTTCAGAGCTAGTGCATGTATAGTTTTTGAGTTATAGAATTTCCTATTGTCAATGGATGGATCTTGTGTGAATTTTCATAATTTTTCTATAGATCCAGTATAGGTAAAATTTGGTGAGTAAGGTTCTTATGCTAGAATGATGCTAGGAAAAATGAGAAATCTGTTGCTTGACACTTTTCATTAGGGTTTCCTAATTATGCTAAAAATATGCATGCCACCTGTTATTTTGGATACAGCAAGTTCTTGCTCAATGGCTTTGAAATTTTTATGGTAGTCTATGTGAAGCATGAGATAGCTACTGTAATTTTTATAGATTTTTATGAATAGTTTTACTATATGTTGCTTTAATCACCTAATTAACTAAATAAATTAGAAAAGGATATTAAATGAGTTATTTAGAAGTTGGCACTATACTTTCTAGTGTTCCTCTGGTATGTGCAACAAGTTGGTAAACTTGGTTTGGTCAAATTAGGCTTTTGCATCATCATTAAATGATTAAGTTAGTAACCCTGTCATTGCGGGACAGATTCTAGGTTTACTGGAATTCGATTTGGTTAACGTAAGAATCATGCTTTGATGTTTACAAATGAATTGTAGAGAATTTCATAAGCTTTCCAGAATGTCCTCATGCAAGTCATTTAGATTTGTAGAACTCTGGTTGTGATTGAATTAAGGGACTACTTGTGTGCATATGAAACTTTAAATGTTGATTTATGTATGCCTTTACTATTTCTAAGTTTGTGGTAATGTTCCTAGGTGTTAGGCCTTTAACCGAAGATGAGCATCTTTATCTTAGGTTATGCAAGTTATGTAAGTTGATCTTGTTCTTCAAGTTAAATTAGATACTTGTTTTAAAGTGGTTTGAATAGGGCTAGTCTTACTCGGTAAACGAGTGTCCAGTGATGTTTTCGGTAAACACTTACTATGATTCATTCATCATTGAGCATCATGTCATTCCTTATGCATCCATGATATTTATCTTGTGCATCGGCATGCAATAGGTGTACCGGAAGGAGTGACCCTGCTGGAATTCGAGGAACCGAAGCGAGCAAAGAAGAACGACACACGGAGGTTCAGGAGGTGCACCTTCGAGAAGAAGTGCCGATTAAGGTCGCCATTGAGTGCCCAGATCATCGTCCGTGCAACTTTGTGAAAGGCAAGCCCCGGAGCATATTAAGCCTCCTAATTTCTAAAATGCGATTCTGATATTATTGTTACATATATATATTGTTGCATTAAGTTTAGGTGTTGGATGCAAAGACTTGTCGCATTGGTTACCCAATCCTTGTCCAGATATTGATACCACGAATCCTATGTAGCTCAGCTCGTGTAGTGCTTAGCCCCGCTTAAACACGGTAGAAGTCGGTGATTTCTTGTCACCGCGAGATATAGGAAGATCCATATGGCACGGTTGGCTATATTTGCTATCGTGGAAAAGAACCCATCTTAATTTGAAATGAAGAC